TCTTCTTCTTCTTCTTCTTCTTCTTCTTCTTCTTCTTCTTCTTCTTCTTCTTCTTCTTCTTCTTCTTCTTCTTCTTCTTCTTCTTCTTGTCCTTTATCAACTCCTCTTCCTCCTTCTCCCCCTCCTCCTCGGGCGCTTGAAAAAAATATCACGGTCTTTTCCTGTCACCCATCTGTTCAAGCTCAGTAAGTAAGTTACTCTTTGGCTACCTCTGCTCCTTCCGTCTATTTTTCCAGTGAGAGCAAGATGTTATAAGGCCTTTAACGGTTTAATTATTACTGAACAAAACGACCACATCGACGCCATCTAGATCATTTAAGAGGCGGGGTGATTCGACCCTGTCTCTCGGAGCAAACCTGGACCGAGAGGTAGACAATGTCCCAGCAGACAGACAGAGTTATTCGATTTTTTTAAAAATGAAAAGCCTCTGCAAACGGGAATCGAACGCACATCTTCTGCAGGCGCCGGTGAAGATTGTAACCATTAAAAAGTAAAAGTCGTTCCCGCATCCGATCCGGGCATTGGGGATTGCCTCGTTAGTGAGATAACTTCCTGGGCCTTCGGCATATTGTGGTTGGGTGGCCAGTTCTTTTCCACGCCGCCTCTACTTCCCCAACTCGAAGTCAGGTACCCACTACTGCTGGGAGGGCAGGAGGGGGCGAAAAAAAATCCATGTCCAAATAGAGGCTCGAACCAGGACCTTCCGCTTCGGGGACGAGCGCACTAAGCGCTCCGCCACCCATTGTAACCAGTATACCACATATTATTATAATTATACCAGCCAAGAGAATTAAAATCCTATACAGCGCGATCGTCACGGCCGACAGCCTGCTCAAACAAAGATAGTATACCCCGTAAGGTATAGTACCTTCGGCTCAAGTGTGCTCAAATCTGTAAGCATGTTACTATCATCCCATGTAATCACTTTATTTACTTCCCATCAACAAAGAGATTCGTTCCTGATCACGTAGCAAGTCATGAATCAAACCGTCTTTCTGGTTTTCTTTCACGTGTTTTAAAAAAAAGCGAATTAGTTATTATATAATCGGCTAATCCTTCTATAATCACGTATTAAATAGTGTAAATAATAATAAGATAAAATAACCGACGACAATAATTGCCATGTCTTAACTGCACATTATCTTGTGATTTAGCAGCCTTAGGAGTCAATTAACGTAATGAATGGTGTGTCTCACAGAATGAAAATTGTGCGGGTGGGGAGGGGGGGACAGAGAGAGAGAGA